CAACCTATTCACACAACGTGCTTATTCAAGGGAACTCCTTGTCGTCTTGTTATTAATAGTGGAAATTGCACCAATGTAGCAATGTCGAAAAATATTGACTGTGACTTAGTATTTTCACATGTGTGCTTAATGACAAAACTAGGGTTTCTAAATTAGGATTTTGATTTTAGGCCCGTACGTAGATTGCTTTTCACTTTTTCTTCGAAAGTAGTCTAAATACTCAAATATTGACTTTCCTGACAAGAATGTCGAAAAATATCGATCATGACCCGATTTTTTTACGTGCGTACTTAGAACGACTCTTTAGGGTTTCAAAATTAGGGTTTTGGTTTTAGGCACATACATACACTTTTATAGGCTATATTTCTTCTAAATTTTTGTCGAAATCATGGAATTTGAACATTCCATGCAACAATGCTGAAAAATATCGACCGCGTCTCAGTTTTTTCACATGCACTTTCTTCAAGTAGTCAGACTAGGGTTTCGGTTTTAAGCCTGTACATAGATTGTTTTTGGCTCTTTTTCTTCAAAACTTGAGTAAAAATACTCGATTATTAACATTCTTCACAAGAATGTCAAAAATATCCATCGTGACTCAATATTTTTGCGTGCTTCAAACAACCCAATTATTCGTTCAAAATTAGGGATTCAGTTTTAGGCACGTACATATACTTTTATAGGCTATATTTCTTCTAAATTTTGTTCGAAATCATGGAATTTGAACATTCTACGCAACAATGTTGAAAAACATCGATCGTGTCTTAGATTTTTCACGCACAATTTTGTCACGTGGCCAGACTAGGGTTTCTAAATTAGGGCTTCGATTTTAAGCCTGTATTGCTTTTGGCTCTTTATCTTCAAAACTTGAGTTGAAATACTCAAATATTAAAATCCTCCACAAGAATGTCAAAAATTATCGACCATGACTCAATTTTTGTGCGTGCCTCAAACGACTCAATTATGGTTTTGAAATTATAGATTCGGTTTTAGGCACGTACATACACTTTAGGCTATATTTCTTCGAAATTTGGGTGGAAGTCATGGAATTTTAACATTCCACACAACGATGTCAAAAAATATCGACCATTACAAAATATTTTAGGTGCATGCTTCAAGTGGTCAAACTAGGGGTTCTAAATTAGGGTTTCAGTTTTAAGCCTCTCTTTTTCTTCAAAACTTGAGTCTAAATACTTGAATATTAACTTTCCCTACAAGAATGTCTAAAAATATCGATCGTGACTCAATTTTTTTAACGCTCGTGCTTAGAACGACCCAATTAGAATTTTGAAATTAGGGTTTCATTTTTATGCATGTACGTACACTTTTATAGGCTATATTTCTTCTAAATTTGGGTCAAAATCTTGGAATTTGAACATTCCACGCAAAAATGTCGAAAAATATCGACTGCGTCTCAGTTTTTTCACGCGAAATTTATTCAAGTGGCCAGACTAGTGTTTCTAAACTAGGGTTTCGATTTTAAACCCGTACGTAGTTTGTTTTTGGCTCTTTTTCTTCAAAACTTGAGTCCAAATACTCGAATATTAACATTCTCCATAAGAATGCTAAAAAATATCGACCGTAACTCAATTTTTTTGCGTGCTTCGAACGACTAAATTATGGTTTCGAAATTAGGGATTTGATTTTAGGCACGTACGTACACTTTTATAGGTTATATTTCTAATTATTTGAGTCAAAATCATGGAATTTGAACATTTCATGAAACAATGTCGAAAAATATCAACCGCGACTAAGTTTTTTCACGCGAATGCTTTAAGTGGCAAAACTAGGGGTTCTAAATTAGGGTTTTGATTTTAACGCCATATGTCAAATTCTTGTGTCTCTTTTTTTTTTTAAACTTGAGTCAAAATACTTGATATTAACAATCTCCACAAGAATGTCGAAAAATATCAATCGGGATTCGAATTTTTTTTTAGTGCGTGTTTCAAACGACCCAATTAGGGTTTTTAGTTTAGGCAGATACGTACACTTTGACATGCTATATTTCTTAGAAATTTGGGTTGAAATCATGTCATTTGAACATTCCACGCAACAATGTCGAAAAATATCGACCGCGACGCAGTTCTTTCACGCACGTGCTTCAATTGGCAAACTAGGGTTTTTAAATTAGGGTTTCGATTTTGAGCTCGTACATAGATTGCTTTTGCCTCTTTTTCTTCAAAACTTGTGTCAAAATACTCGAATATTAACATTCCCCACAAGAATATCGAAAAATATCGACCATGATTCAAATTTTTTTTACGCACGTGCTTCGAATGACCCAATTAGATTTTCAAAATTATGGTTACAGTTTTAAGCACGTATGTAAACTTTTAAAGGCTATATTTCTTCGAAATTTGGGTCGAAGTCATGAATTTGAACATTCTACGAATCATTGTCGAAAAATATCAACCGCGACTCAATTTTTTCACGCGCATGCTTCAAAAGGCAAAACTAGGGTTTATAAATTAGGAATTTGATTTTAAGCCCGTACGTAAATTGCTTTTGGCTTTTTTTCTTCGAAACTTGAGTTGAAATACTCGAATATTGACATTTCTCTCAAGAATGTTAAAAAATGTCGATCATGACTCAACTTCTTTATGCACGTGTTTCAAACGACCCAATTAGTGTTTCGAAATTAAGCTTTCAATTTTAGACAGGTACGTACACATCAATAGGCTATATTTCTTCCAAATTTGTGTTGAAATCATGGAATTTGAACATCGCACTCAAAAATGCCGAAAAATATCGACCACGATACTATTTTTTCATGCGCGTACTTCAAGTGGCCAAACTAGGGTTTTTAAATTAGGGTTTCCATGTTAAGCCCGTACGTAGATTTCGGGTCCATATATTCAAATATTGACATTTCCCACATTAGTGTCAAAAAATATCGACTGTGACTCGATATTTTTACACGCGTGCTTCGATCGAGCCAATTAGGGTTTAGGCACATACGTACACTTTTATAGACTATATTTCTTCGAAATTTTGGTCAAAATCCTAGAATTTTAACATTACACGCAACAATGTCGAACTCAATTTTTCACGTGCGTGCTCCAAGTGGCGAAACTAGGCTTTCTAAATTAGGGTTTCAATTTTAAGCTCGTATGTAGATTGATTTTAGCTCTTTTTCTTCCAAACTTGAGTCAAAATAGTTTTATATTGACATTCCCCACAAGAATTTTAAAAATATCAACCGTGACTCAATTTTTTTACGCGCGTGCTTCGAGTGACCAAATTAGGGTTTTGAAATTAGAGTTGCAATTTAGGCACATAAGTGCAATGTTTTTTGCTATATTTCTTCAAAATTTGGGTAGGTATCATGGAATTTCAACATTTCACACAACAAAGGCATGCAACAAGTGGTCTTACTAAGGTTTCTAAATTAGGGTTTCAATTTTAAGCCTATACGTAGATTATTTTTGGCTCTTTTTCTTCAAAATTTGAGTTAAAATACTTGAATATTAACATTCTCCACAAGAATGTTGAAAATATCGACCTGACTCAATTATTTTAAGTGCATTTCAAACGATCCAATTAGGGTTTTAAATTAGTGTTTTGGTTGTAGGCACATACATACACACTTTTATAAGCTATATTTTTTTTTGAAATTTCGGTTCAAATTTTGGAATTTGAACATTCTACGCAACAGTGTAAAAAAATATGGACTGCGACTTAGTTTTTTCACACTCGTGCTTCAAGTGGCCAAACTAGAGTTTCTAAATTAGGGTTTCAATTTTAAGCCCGTATGTAGATTGCTTTTGGCTCTTTTCTTCGAAACTTGAGTCGAAATACTCGAATATTGACATTCCCCACAAAGATGCCAAAAAAGATCGACCGTGATTCGACTTTTTTACGCACGTGCTTGCAACGTCCCAATTAAGGTTTCAGTTTTAGGCACATACATACACTTTTATAGGTCGGAATTTGGGACAAAATCATGGAATTTGAACATTCCAAGCAACAATGTCGGAAAATATCGACCATGACTTTGTTTCTTCAAGCGCGTGCTTCAAGTATTCAACTATGGTTTCTAAATTAGGGTTTCAATTTTAAGCCCGTACCTAAATTGCTTTTGGCTCTTTTTCTTTGAAACTTGAGTCGAAATACTCAAATATTGACAAATGTCAAAAAATATCAACCGTGACTCGATTTTTTATGAGCATGTTTCAAACGACCAATTTAGGATTTCGAAATTATGGTTTCGTATTTTAGGCACGTACGTACACTTTTAGAGGCGATATTTCTTTGAAATTTTGGTTGAAATCATGGAATTCGAACATTACACGCAACAATGTCGAAAAATATCGACCATGACTTTATTTTTTCACGCGCGTGCTTCAAGTATTTAAATTAGGGTTTCGATTTTAAAGCTCATACCTAGATTGCTTTTGACTCTTTTTCTTCAAAACTTGAGTCAAAATATTCGAATATTAACATTCCCCACCAAAATGTCGAAAAATATCGACAATGACTCAATTTTTTACGTGCATGCTTTGAAACTAGGGTTTCGGTTTTAGCATGTAGGTACACTTTTATAGGCTATATTTCTTTTAAATTTTGGTCGAAATCGTGGAACTTGAACATTCCATGCAACAATGTCGAAAAATATCGCTCGCTACTCAGTTTTTTCACACACATGCTTCAAGTGACCAAACTAGGGTCTCTAAATTATGGTTTCGATTTTAAGCCGGTACATAGATTGCTTTTGACTCTTTTTTCTTCGAAACTTAAGACGAAATTTGAGATTTGATCCTTATAAGTATTACTTGAAAAGGTCTGAGTGGCTACTTACATGGATGACGTGTACCTTCATCCATCACTTGACCTGTGTACTCCAGCCGTCAAGCTACGTTCCTCTGCCCATCTGTGGACACGTGTCTCTGCCTTCTTCCAGTCGCATGTTCTACGATAGGGTTTTTTCTAGATTCTCATCCGTTTTTAATTATCTTCTATTTTATTTAGATTTTCACAAGTTTTTCTACCTAACTCGTACTAACTTGATTCCTTCCCAAAAATTGTAGAGTTTTAATGTATCTATTCAAAGATTTTTTTTTTTGTAATTTTTAACTACAAAAGAAAATAAATATGCTCAAAATTGGCAAAAACTCATGTTACACCACTTTTTGGTCTGATTAAACTCTGGCTTTCTTGAAGGAACTTGGGCAAAATCTCCAACCATATATCAAAAATTCAAAAATTCAAAACCTAGTTCCAAGAAATTCTCTCTGATTGCGAGGAAAATCGAAATTAAAACTCAAAATACTTACCTCAAGTTCTTCCTCAATTCTAAATGGTTTTGAGTGATCCAAGAGTCAAATTGAATGTCTATATCATCTTGAAATTTGATCTTTGAAACCCAGATCAGAGCTCTCCGACGATTTTATGGAAGAGTTTCAATCAAGAGCCACTAATTCTAGTTGATTTAGCTACCGTGTTTTCATTATCACTCTTGAAACTGCTACTAATAATTGAGTCGTGCAACCACTATATATATATTACTTTTGAGTAGATGACGTCGTTGGTCCATACCTTCTCGTTGACATTGCACAATAATGTTAACGTCATAACAAATAAACACTCAATTTTCATAATTGAATCTCTATCTCTATCTTTAGTTGATTATGAATATTTCTCTTCCTCACTCGTGGGTTTGACCAACGTTAACCCACACTAAATTGACTTAAGTTTAGTGTTACTCACTCCTTAACAGCTTTGAATTTGCAATATTAAGGTTATTTTGAGACTAACTGTAAGCGCTCGAAGCTGTTTGGCGAAATTCGGTAGGTCAAAGTTCACGTGAAACCCTTTTGAACTTGTCTCAATGTTAAGTAAGACTAGTCTTTGGGTTGACTATTATCTTTTAAATTATGAACAACAGAATTTTGTGTTAGGTTGATTAAAAAAATTGTGATTCAAGTCCACGGTGTTTTTCATTTAGATTCATTAATAAAGTAAGTAATTTTAGTGTTAGAATGTGGTGTGTTACGCTAATATTTTATGCATTCAAGTCATGAAATATTTAAATTTATGAATTAATTCAATCTCAAATAACGAAAAGGATATTTAGGAGTTGCTAATTCAATCGTATGGCTTTTAAAACCGGTTCATAAGTACATAAAATGAATCCTTATTCATTAAAATTCCTTGAAAAAACTTGGGTTAATATTGGTTCGTTTTTTATCATGCTTACCAATTTGACCTTACAAGCTATGGGCATTCAAATTCGAGATGGTTCAGAGTATGCTTCCTAGGCGACAACATTGAACTTCAAAAAAATGTGTCGTAGTGTCATCGTCATTCAAGACGTATTGCCACAATCACTGGTTGAGTAAGGGGAACTCGAGTCGTCGAGGGTAGAGCACCCTTGTCGCTCGTCATCGCTTGTTGGAGTTCGTTGCATAATCAAAGGGAGACATTGGTGAGGATTTTTATCTCCTTTTCCTTTATAATTTACCCCATTAAATTTTCAGACCCATTTCAATAACTTTATGAATATATTATACATAAGTTAAATGACTCGTTAGACAAAAAATTGAAAAGGCAAGGATTTAGTGCTAACATAACACACCGTCTCATATTTATTGTTTCCACAAACTTAGATTACCAGTTCCATATATATATATTACACCACTATTATAAACACATCATATAACAGAGTTCCTATAATGTTTCAGATCTATTCTGTTGTTTACCTTCAGCAGCAACCCACATGGGCTATAGGGTATGTTTATGTATAATCTTCACTTACCTGCCATCCAAGAACAACAATCAACATTTGCGGAAATCGATCTTACGACACAATACGACTCTCGACTCCATTTTAACAATGCAGGAAACATAACACATAAATTTTGGTTACATTATTACAACTATAGTTCTTATTTTGATGCATATCGTGTAACGACCCTAAATTTCCACATACTCAGAGTCGCTACTAACGTCTCATGCTCATCTATAATGCGGAAAATATAACTCTTACATGAACATAATTGATAACGAAAATTTCAAAAAAACGTTTAAAACAACTTCTTCTCTGAAAACACAGCCATGGTCTTACGTGTTTAAATATGAAATACTGAAATTTAGAGAAAACAAAAACAAATACAAAATAATTTAAAACAATTAAATGCAAAACAACCTATTCTAACTTAAGACTAGAAATTTAAATATGAGTCTACCCTATGCACGTGCCACAGTCTCTGCTCGCGATGTCGCCGTCCTCCGTACAAGTGCGCCTTGCCTTTACCTGAAAAATGATGTGGCACACGACCTGAGTATTTCAAAGAATACTCAGTAAGTGGCCCCACTATAGGGGGCCATGCAAATGCAAACACATGCAATCATGATTTAGGGACCTATCTCTAATCATCTTAGGGGTGGCCTCCAGTCTCGGATAAATTGGATGTGTAGTACTTCCCTACACACGACTCACACGTGCGAGTGTGAATCCCCAGGGCGCTCGCACACCCCCTGGACCCTCTGGTCAAGCTAATCTGTAGCGACGTCCGGAGGTCAGCGGAACCCCATAGTGTCATGCGCCTCATGAACACCCTCATCTGTGTGCATTCGCACCTATGCGCATTCGCGCTCATCATATGGTGCGCGTCCGCACTCATCATCTCTAGGGGAAGTAGCCCTATGCTTATGAACATACAATATGCATGAGGTCCCTCTAAATCCATCATAATGTCTCTTCTGACACAACCCTCTAGTCTCATCTCTTTGTTACTCTAGGTAACACATACTCGTGGATATTTATATTAATATCATTTTCACGCTCTTAGGGTTGTGTCCTATGTCGATCTAACGACATGATGCAATATGACACTCATTATCATATAGCATGCTCAATATGGAAACATCATCATATTAAGGTAAACGTCACGCAATCATCATACTCATCATATTGCCACAAAGTGCATCAAACATATCAAGTACGACATTCATCAATATATATATATACTGAGCACATCATCAGGTATCATAACCCACACATCATCATAACTCATACATCATACATCATCATAAGTCATATACCGCATCGTACGACATAGTTCATACATCATCATAACTCATACAATTTTTAGCCTATCCTATAGTAAGGCCACTTACCTGGTTGGCCTTAGCCGAAGAATTCCCTAATTTATTTACGTAAGCTCCCGTTTCTCGAGAACTACACCAAATGTTGCCAAGGTTTGCTTCCTATCGCATCGTTCGTCACATTTTGTTAGTATTTCACATTTTAATTAATAATCCAACTAACCGTGTGAAAAACTGCTCTAAACGGTCTCAATAAAAATCGAATTCCATGTTTTCATTGTTTCTAAATTATATAGGATAATAAAACTTAAAACTTAAATTAATAATATGTCAATATTATTAATATTTCAAGTGGCTTGGATAATTCAACATTTAATGTTATATCCTATAGATACAAATACAACTATTTCTCATATCTTCTTCTATCACTTATTTCTCTCCTATGTCATATTTTAATTCTATTTACGGTACTTACCATTTTTTCAAACAGTTCTAACTTTCTTTTCTTTCCTAAAATCCTCTCTCTGTTGTTTTTTTTTTTCTTCTTTCTTTTAACTCTAATTCTGTTTAGCCTTTTAATTTTGTCATTGCCATATGAATGGTACTTGTCATCTTCAAACTGTTCTAACTTTCTTTTCTTTCCTAAAATCCTCTCTCTTTGTTTTTTTTTTTTTCTTGTTTCTCTCTACTCTAATTTTGTTTAGCCTTTCAATTCTACTTCCATATCTAATTATTTTAAGCCATTTAAATTTAATTCTTTTAATTAGTTTCATTATTTTAGGCAGTTTATTACACTGGGTTTAATTCTACTCACCAGACTTCCTTTAACTTTACTGTTTCCAAATCTAATCTCCTTTCTTTCCTGTGAAAATCTCTTTTGATTATGTTTTCCAAATTTGGTATTTTTTATTTTTATTTGATCTGTCTTCCAATCTTTCTCTCTTTTCTTCTCTGTCTCATATTTTAATTCTATTGCTAGATTTTATTTTCTTTGAATATGTATCCAGATCTTTCTTTTCCCTATCTTTCTCTCCTCCTTATCTATCTATTCTTTTTTTTTATCAATTTTCATGGACCCTCGCTACGACATATAATTTCTAATTCAGATCATTGCAACAGATAATTTCTAAATTTCTAACTCAGATCTAAATAATTGCTAATATCCTTCGCAGAAAGAAAGAGAAAAATAAATAAAAAAAAAAGGTAAATCTGACTACTAACCTTTTGAAATGACATCTCTGTCTACCATCTCTCCATTATCTGTCTTCCTTCTGGTTTCCTCCAAAAAAATATTTTCTTTCTATTTTTGTTTTTTTGCTGAGTTATTGATACTGAGGGAGATATTGTAGGGGATGGACGGAGAGATTAAAGGAGGTGGTCAGTTTTTTTTTCTTTTTCTTTATTTTGTTATTTTTATTTTAACACACACACATATATATATATAACTAAACCCAACGGGGCGTTACATTATCTACCCATAAAAAGAACTTTCGTCCTCGAAAGTCTCCAACTCGTATACTAACTCAGGGAATTTTTCTTTTATTTCGTCCTTACACTCCTACGTGGCCTCTTCAGTGTGGTGATTTCATCACAACACCTTAATGAACGCAATGTTTCTGTAGCATAACGGTTTTACTTCTCTTGCTAAGATTCTTATTGGTTTTTCCTAATAACTCAGATCTTCATTGAGTTGGAGTGGTTCATAGTCTATTACATAGATAGGGTTCGTAATGTACTTCCTCAGAATCGACACATGAAATGCATCGTGTACTCCTAAGTGGGCTATAGGTAGGGCTAACTTATACGCTACTGGACCAACTCGCTCTAGGATCTCGAATGGTCCAATGAATTTAAGACTTAACTTGCCCGTACGTCCGAACCTCAAGACACCTTAAATAGGTGCCACCTTGAGGAGTACTAGGCCCCTTGTCTCGAACTCTAAGCTTCTACGCCTTACATCGGCGTAG